AAAATGAATTCCTGTCAAACTCGACAGTGGCAATTCCTCCCAGTAAAATGCTGTGCCAGGAAGTGGTACCAATCGAGAAGGACCAGATTTTTCAAGGGATTTAGGCACTGCTTCATTCACCGTTGCAACGCCCCACTGATTCAGGAAACTAAATCTCCTTTTCAAAAGTGGTTTAGGCACATAGATGCCTAAAACCCGTTGGCTTCGATTGGATTTAGGCTCCTAAGTGCCTAAACCACTTTCAAAAAGGAGATTTAGTTTCCTGAATCAGTGGGGCGTTGCAACGGTGAATGAAGCAGTGCCTAAATACCTTGAAAAATCTGGGCCTTCTTGATTGGTACCAGCTCCTGGCACAGCATTTTACTGGGAGGAATTGCCACTGTCGAGTTTGACAGGAATTCATTTTTCTATTCATGAACTCGACTCCCAATCAGGGTTAACATCACACTTTATTGCAGCATTTTCTGGTTTGTGACCTTGGCATTCTGAGACAACTGAAGCCTTGAAATAAGTCTTAACTATGCATTGACTTTGCTATTAGTAGTCCAGATCTTTAATGTTAGCCACATTATGGCTAATGTGACATTGGTGCACTCTGCTGTATCATTCTCTAAGTTTGATTGTGAGGGAATCTTACTGAAAGATGTAGTTCTTGGAAGAACAGATGTGGGTGTGTATGAAACAAGTTGAAATGGCTTAGCACCAGACCAGATGATATTTAGCTTGCCTTTACCTAGAACTCTGGGATGAGTGGATATGTGGCCAGGAAAGGGAGAAGGCACCTTGTTTGCTGTGCTCAAGGCAGCTGGTTACTTGTCCCAGTTTGACATATTTCTGACCATAGAGGTCAGCTAGAGCCTGTCATATATATTACTGTGAAGGGTTCAGAATGCTGTGCTCACTTAGTGTTTCCATCACTTCTAGGTATCTGTGGCAGTGGATAGTGTACTGAGAGACAGTGACGGTAAACCTGAAGAAACTAAGCCTGTGCATTTTGAGACAACCTCCTCTGATTCATCTTTGTCTGGCAGCAGTCCAGAGAGTACGCTTGTGAAGCAGACTTCCAATGGGACAACAGAGGCTACCACTGGTACCTCCTTAGATGTGACAGATGATGCTGTTTCACGGACATTTCCTGCCATACAATTGCCATTAGAGGCTGGGCAGCCAACTAAAGTTGGGCGCTTTCAAGTGACGACAACAACGGACCAAGTGGGTCGCTTTTCTGTGTCCAGGACTCAAGATGAGGTCACCTGTGTGGAGAGAGAACCCCCAAGGACTCTTCCTCTTTCTGTGGATTCAGAACAAGTTTCTCTTCCAGCCATGACTCCAAAGAAAGAGGTTCCAGAATTGGTGGAGCCAAGGCAGTCTCCGCTTATGAATGGGCCATCATCTGATCTGGAGGCTGCCTTCCTGAGTGGAGCGGCTCAGGAACTGGATGATGGCTCAGGTAGCCCAGACTCTCTCCAACCACTGGATTCAAAGATCAGCCTCCCCCTCCAAAGCTTTAGCAACTCATTGAATTCTTCCTACATGAGCAGTGATGAGTCAGATATTGAAGATGAAGACTTGAAATCAGAGCTACGCCGGTTGCGAGAAAAGTAAGATTCCTTCTTTGGGAATGATGTTTGTGTGAACTGTAACAGTTGCTTAGTTCTTTTTCCGCTTTCCTTTATGAGCACTCTGACCTGCCATACAGAGGAGAAATTCAGACTGATTTTAGAATGAGCCTCTGTTAAATATATTTTTCTGTAGTAATTGCCAGAGTTTTCACATAGGGTAAAATGAGTTTACTGATAAATGAATGTGACGGTTCTTCTTTGAGTGATTGCTCATATCGATTCCAATTAAGTGTGTGTGCGCCACATGCAGTCATTGGAAAGTATTTTCCCTAGCAGCACCCGTCGTATTGGCTGTGGAGCCCCCTGGAGTGGCGCCTTCATGGCGCTCAATATATGACCCTGCTGACCCAGTGCCTCCTCAGTTCCTTATTACTGCCAGTGATGGTTGTTGGAACTGCAGTGACTTGCTTAGCAAGCTCTTCTCATTTTCCCTAGCTTTCAGTTTAATTTAGTTCGCAGTTACTCCTAGTCTTGTTAAGTTTAGTTTTAGTGTTTTTGGTTGTTACAGCAGATAGCGGTTGGGAGTGGGGTGTCTTCCCCCTTTGCCCCGACAATGTTCCCCGTTGGGACTTGGGTTATGCCTAAATCCCAAGAATTGAAACCCTGCAAGTCCTGCAACAAGACCATGCTAACAGGCAACCCCCACAACGCTTGCTTAAAGTGTCTGGGGGAAGCACACCAAACTGACAAGTGCAGGATTTGTAAAGGGTTTCACCACAGAACAAAAAAGGAGCGAGATTTTTTTTTGCCTCAAGCAGCCCCTTATGGAGGCGGCACTTAGACTGCAACCTACATCGGCATGGCAAGACCCAGCACCAAGCTCGTGGGTGCGCAGCGCCCTGGCGGCAGTGGTAGAAGCGGCACTGCAGAAGGACTCTGGGAGAGACCCGTGACACCACCACTCACTGGCACCAAAACCAGCAGGATTGACCTGGCACCTGTCCCATTAGCCTCCTTGTCATCCTCCCCGGATGAGGTGGTTGCAGGCACCTCAATCTCTGGACCGCCCCCCATAGACAGCCGTGCCCACCAGGACCTCCTTCGTAGGGTGGTGCGAAATATGGGCCTGCAGGTCGAGGAGGTGGTGGAGTCAGAGGACTCGATGGTTGACATCCTGGCCCCAGAGGGCCCGTCGAGGGTGGCTCTACCCCTCATCAAGACTATACAGGCCAATGCTAAGACCATTTGGCAGACCGTTCCTCCCACCGCAAAGGGTGTAGAGAGGAAGTATTTTGTCCCATCTAAGGGGTACGAATACCTCTCCCCACACCTGCAGCCTTGCTCATTGGTGGTGGCTGCAGTAAATGAAAAGGAGAGGCAGGAACAACAAGCCCCAGCGTCTAAGTCCAAGGATGCCAAGAGCCTAGATTTATTTGGGTGCAAAGTGTATTCCATGGGGGGTTGCAACTCAGGATTGCCAACCAGCAGGCAATTCTGAGTAGATACAGCTTCAACTCCTGGAACTCGATGCTCAATTTTAAGGAGCTGGTGCCAACAGAGTCCAGGGAGGAGTTTGGAGCGATAGTAGAGGAGGGCAAGGCGGTTGCCGGGACCTCTTTGCAGGCCTCACTGGACGCTGCAGACTCAGTGGCTTGCACCTTATCCTTCGGTATTGCCATGAGATGTAGCTCATGGCTGCAGGCCTCAGGACTCCTGCCCAAGGTTCAACAGACCATGTAGGACCTGCCTTTTGATGGGGGCAGGTCTGTTTGCAGAGTAGACTGACTCTAGGCTGCATAGCCTAAAGGACTCCAGGGCTACCATGAAATCCTTGGGTATGTACACCCCGGCAATCCAATGTAAACATTTCAAGCTTCAGCAGCAGCGCTACTATCATCCTCGGCTGAGGCAGAACTTTTCTAGAAAGGGGGGCAGGAATGGTAGACACAAGCCTTCCCACCCCCACCCGGGTAGGCCAGGGCCCGACTAAACCATCATCTGGTTCAAAGCAGGCCTTTTGAAGGTTCACCTGAGGATGGCGCACCAGCCGCAATTCTGGATCCTTCCCCATCTTTCTTGAATCATCTGTCCCACTTCTAATGTGCTTGGGCCCAAATAACTTTGAACTGCTCGGTTCTCCGTACCGTAGAATTGGGATATTCTCTCCAATTCTGCTTCTACCCTGCCTCTCATCCCGCTTCCCTGTCCCTCTTTAGGGACTCTTCTCACGAGCAACTCCTTATCCAGGAGGTGTGGGCGCTCCTTGCCATGGGAGCAGTGGTGGAGGTTCCTCAGGAACTATGGGGCAAGGGATTCTATTCCCCATACTTCCTAATCCCCAAAGCCAAGGGGGGAAGGGTCTCAGACCCATTCTAGGTCTGCGAGGACTCAACAAGTTCATGGTAAAGTTGAGGTTCCGCATGGTCTTTCTGGGCACAATTATCCCTTCTCTGGATCCAGGAGGCTGATACGCCGCCCTCAACATAATAGACGCGTACTTCCATATAGCTTATTGGGCTTGTATACAGACGATTCCGACAATTTACGGTCCTTCCATTCGGCGTCTCAACAGCCCCCAGAGTGTTCACCGAGTGCATGTCGGTTGTGGCTGCTTTCCTCTGTCGGAGGCAGGTGCAAGTATACCCCTACCTTAGCGACTGGCTGCTCAGGGGCCACACCAGGGGGCAGATGGACTCTCAAGTCTGATAAGTCAGATCCACATTCAAGAGACTGGGTCTCCTCCTCAGCTTGAACAAGTCAACCTTGTCACTGACCCAAAGAATAGAATTCATCGGGGTGGTGTTAGACTCGGTTCAGGCAAGAGCACTTTTGACAGAGCCCCAATTCCAAGCCATGACAGACATCATTCAAGGCCTCAGGCAATACCTGACCACTATTGTAAGGGGATGCCTGAGTCTCCTCGGCCTCATGCAGCCTGCACTTACGTGACCGACATGCTAAACTGAGGCTCAGGCCTCTACCGGCGTGGCTCGTTTCGGCCTATCACCCGGGAGGCGACAGCCTAAATTCAGTGGTTACGGTGCCGGGACAGGTGCCAGGGTCCCTTCAATGGTGGCTCCACCCTCGGACAGTGTGCGAAGGAGTTCCCTTCAACAGCCCTCCTTGTCCCTAGTAAGGACGCGTGAGCTCTGGGATGGGGTGCGCATTTGGGAGACCCTCAAATGCAGGGCCTTTGCTCACAGGACTAGCTTGCCCTCCATATCAACATTAAGGAGCTGAGGGCAGTGCAACTAGCATGCCAGACCTTTCAGGCCTGACTACAAGGTCAGTGCATAGCAGTTCTGACTGACAACACCACTGCTTTGTTTTACATCAACAAGCAGGGTGGAGCCTATTCCTCTCCCATATGTCGGGAAGCCCTCTGGCAGTGGGAGTTCTGCATAGCCCACTCCATTCACCTGGAAGCGTCCTATCTACCAGGAGTTCAGAACATGCTTGCGGACCACCTCAGCAGGTCCTTTTGCAATCACGAGTGGTTCATCTGCCCGGATGTCATATGTTCCATCTTCTAAAGGTGGGGGTGTCATCAGGTCAA